ATATAACGTAAGACAATTCGTCATATCTCTAACCTGAACAATGTCGTATTTTATTTAGTGATATTTATTCTGTAGAATAGATTGATTTCTTTTATAAGAAATGTCTCAGATTTCATTAGACAACAGGTATCTAGAATTGACTGGTGCATTGGAATGACCGCATATGAAAAGATTTATGAAGAAAAGCAAACATAAGCTGAAGAAATTATATTAACACAATCTTTAATTTGAAGTACATTTTCACTTTGAAGCCTTGATAATGTCAAGGTTCGCGTAATATATCTGATTGGTTAGAAAATTTTCTATGAATTTCTCTTTTATTTGAATCGAAAATTCTTTCAAGTACTCAATGCTTTTCTCAAACTATCATCATCGAGGAGAAAAAAAATGAATCCTTTAGATTTGTATGTCTTATATTAATTTTCTTTAATTTTTGTGTATTAATTTTTTCTTAGAACTGAAGTCGATGAATCAATATCACAAGTATAGTTTTGATCAATTGATTGTTTGTTTTTTTTTATAAATAATTATATTTTCATGATTTTTAGACAGTAACTATTAATGATGAACAGCAACAAAATTTAAAACGTCAACGAAGTTTATGGGCAACAGTCGAAACACATTTGCCAGTTTGTATTTAGTATAAAAACAAATTTCAAATGAATAAACTATTGATATATTTTAGTCGTTTGAATCAAAATTTATTCGAAAACAATTAGCTGATGTTGTTAATGAAGGGTGAAAAATATTAATTTTTTTTCTTATTATTCAATATAGTAATGAACTCTTTTCAGCTCATGTAATAAAATCATTCATTCAACAACTTCACAAGATGATGCATCACCTTTTCTTGATGAAGGTTTATTTGTTTTTTTTTTCTTATTAAACCAAAAACAAAAGAAAACAAAACTTTTATTGACTACTTTTCATAGATGATGATCCAACATTCTCAGCACCAACAAACATCACAAATGGAAAAAGAAACTCATTTTTTACCGAAAATTATGATCATGAAAATGTCATAACTAATGCAATTATTAATAATGAAAATATTTCATCAGATGAAATCAAACAACGAAAAAGTGTTTCAGCTCGATTTCGTTCAGTTTCAAAAGATACAGTGTAAGAAGAAAATAAATCTCAAAAAGCTATTACCACAATTGCTGAAGAATTAAAATTTGAAACGCAATGTAGCCATTCTTACTAATCATAGGGATATTGTTTCATTCTATCTATTTTCATGGTATATCAACAACGTCTGTCAGGGTCATTGGTGGTCTCTGGCTACGATCTGTCATAGTCTGCGGGAGGAGAGAGGAAATAAAAGTTTCTATCCTATACATTTCAACACTCCTTTGAGATCGTGTTTTATAAAAACAACTTATTCAATTATTTACTTCTTTAGAATGACTGATACATTATTAACATCACTTAATATCAATCAAGAAAATATGCCTGTAATGTCATCAACAACATCTCATCGTCAAAGTAAATATATTCAATCGCGAACAATGATTACAACAACAACGAATGAATCAAAAACAATATCATCAAAACCATCAGTAACAAGAAAACTCCGTGGTAGTTTTTTCTTATGATAAAATAAATCAAAATTTAAACTTTTTATAAATTTTTAGTCAATCGAACACGATCGGAAGATCGTTTTCGTGGTTCAGCTCTTTCTCTTATCAATAATATGACAGATACAACATCATCATCATCATCTTCTTCTAATTGTCAATTACCATCATATGCTGCTCATACATCAAGTTCAATAAATAAACTTCGTGAAAGTACAACATCAGTAACTTCACCTCCGCCAGTAGTTTCTCTTCTTCCATCAACATCAAATTTTTCATTAACTATTTCTTCTTCTTCTTCTTCTCAAACACGTCGAAATCCATTAGTTGCTTCTCTTGATAATCGTTTATCATCAACTAAAAATATATCAAAATCTCGTTCAACACAAAATCTTATTGTTGCAACAACAGTTATGCCAAATTCTAATACTCAGAAATCTAAATTATTATCATCACGTCGAGTAAAAATTCCTCGTGTTCCTCGACGACCACCTAATTTACCAACAACAACAACAATGACGACAAATACTCAAACATCATCTTCACCATCATCATCAAACAGTTCATCTCCAATAAAAATACAACAACATCTTCCATCTTGTTTACAAGATTCCATTTTACCATTACGTGATTTAGATAATTCAACAAATGATCTTATGCCAAAATGGGCACAAGATTGTTTCTATCGAACAGTTGTACTTGGTTTGAAACCATTACTTTTACAAGATATTCCATCATCACCATTAAAACATTCAACTAGTACATCATCTATTGAAAGTTCTGATTCATTAGAAACAACAAGTGAATTATTAAATAATCAAAAACAAATTAAAGTTCGACGAAGTATATCAATATCAGATTATAAACAAATTGAAACAAAAACAAACAAAGAAAAGTATCAAGAACGAAAACTATTTATATATACAGTAGCACTCAAAATTGATCAATCACCTTGTTGTTCTAATATTTCACGATGCTTTCAACATATAGAATCATAGTTTATCTGCTCAAAATATCACCTTATCATGTTATATGTTTTCTACACCAGAGTAGAGCTAGTAAAAATAATGTGCTTCGATATCATTCAAAATTGATCATGGATCAAACACACACACAAATGATGGAGCCTTTTCAACGGAAAGATACATTTGAAAAATGCTTTAACGAAGTTTTGCTTGTTTTTTTAGTCAAACAATCGTAAAACAAATACAACTTCTTGTTCAAAAGGATGAAATACGACATTTTTAATTTTAATTTGTTCATATACTTTTGTGTGTAATATATGATCTAGTTTGAGTGATATCGAAGCCAGTCAGTTCTAGCACTTCTAGTCTAGCACAGCTAATATATGACTTAGAGGACTAATATTTTTAGCATTAAAACTATGAAAACAAGACTACATTTTGGCAAAAGCTACAACTCGATATTAGAGATCACCAAGCTAAACTTTTTACATGCCTTACATCATGACTGAGAAAGATGTTCTAATCCTTACTCTACCTTACAGGTGCAGATAGGGTAGTCCTGCTCATGTCTACTCGATATGTTGAAATCATCTTGAGATATTAGAAAAAACAGGGAAATCGCTTTGGTGTATGATCAATTTTTGCATGCCACCGCATATAAAACTTTTCCTCTTTATATTTATCTTTTAGTAATTCAATTCCAAATGATCATCGTATGCCAATAATAAATCATCTTGTTAATGACTTACATCAGCATCTTAATGAATTAGAAAATTTTTATACAACAGTAAAATTAATTTTTGTTTAAATTATTTGAATTGTTCTTTCTGTTTTTTTTTTCTTTTTGAAAAAGGTTTCTCAAAGTTCAGACAAACATGATTTGAATTTAAAACAATATATTGAACAAATATTTTCTGATCTTCATACACGTATTACAAATAATCATCAACAACAAAATCAACCTACAACTGTTGTAAATAACTGAGAGTATTCATATCCGGTTCTTTAAGGATTCGGTGATATGGTGCATTTTATCTTCACGAATTTTATTTGCTAGATTAAAGATGTTCTTTTTCTTTTTCTATTTATTGCGAGAATCACATGTGATTGTAAATACGACTATCTCGTGTTTTCTCGTTATCTATAGTTATATACATGACATATTATTCAATGCTCTAGGTCTTTCAAGTGTGTTGTCTATTGATTTCATGTCTTTTTTTCTTTTATTATTATGTGTTGATGATTGATGATTTCTTTTCTCCACTTGATAAGAGAAACTTTTGTTCATAAAAAAACCACATTATCATTCTTGGACTCTCATTTCATCGTTTCCAGATATACATGATCAGTATCATTATAATAGCCATAGGTAATAAATAACAATGGCAATATCTAGAGTTGGTTTTTTGTGTTGAAATAAAAGTACTGATAAGGAATGAAAAATTAAGTGAACAAAATTGACAACTAACGTTAAGTATGATAAAAATATTGATATAATAAACTTTTTATTTTTAATATAGAAACGATCATTATAGGTCTTGATTACAAATGAATTGACCCACATAAGAATGCTTATTTTATTTCTATAGATCATCGTGAATATCTTATGACTATTCTATATATGTTTTCCCTTAAAAGTTCACTTTACTAATGAAACCGAGATATTAAATATTATATTCGACTATCATTGCAGACTTTTTGTTCTCATATATTCAGGTAATTATCTTCTATTTTGGTTAAACCTAATAGATAATTTCATATACTTTGACAGTCGTGTGAAGAAGATACGGTAACAAGATTTTGATTAGAAGTGATATATTGTAGTAAAAACACGTAAAATGACTATGCTCTTTATCTGTATCACCTATGTTAATCATTAATTGAATCAACTAAGAAAGAGCTGTAATTGGTTTTATTTATATAATTCATTGATACATTGAATCTATATAATAAATTCATAATAAATTTTTTATCTGATATAATTGCATTTCTCAGATGAAAACTGGCAAATGAATACGTGTTTTACTAGATGAGTTAGTTTTTAACGACTTGAAAGAACAGAAAGAGGCAAATAGAAGATGTTCTCTCTATATAAGAGATATATTAAGAATAATTAAATGAATTTCTTTTTTTTTTATGCGCAATAGATAGTGAATGGTTGCCGACAAAAAGTAACTGACAGTGAGAATATGTAAAAACTAAATTATAAGTATAGAATCATTATAATTATCTTTAGAAATTTGACGTTAAAGAGAAAGTAAGAAAAAAAATGTAGTCTTCTTATATCAATCTCTTTTTTCTTTTATTTCTTTTGTTTAAACATCACTAAAAATAAAACAGAAAGTCTTTCACTTTTTAGAGTTATGTTAGATCTAGATTGAATTCATCAAACATGTCCTCTTTCTCATCTTATTTCGCTTTCATTAGCATTATTATTATTGCTACATTGATAATTATGACATCGTGTTGTATACATTTAAATCGTGTTTATCGACATGTTTTACCATACACTATGGAAGTTTTTATAATAAATCAGCCACGTCAACGTCATCTGCAGTATCCTCCAATATTCTGGTCATCATCGTTTGATCAACCACCACCTCCTTATAATACCGTGATTCAATCTACAACTACAAATTCTAATAGAGAAAATGAAAATAATGGATCATAGTTTATTACTATTATTTTTTTTCTTTTCTTTTATCTTTTATTAATAAAAAAATTATCTCAAAAGAAATACGTATTAACTTGTTTCTTTATCAAATAAATGGTAAGAGAAGAGTTAAAAAACAAAATGTATGCAAGATTAACTAGAAAAGAATATATCTATCTTGCGAAAACTGATATATACCGATAATTTATAAGTAATAACAGTGCCAGACTTTTCTTCTAGGTTGAGTTGAATCGACCTGGATCATTTAAGATTGATAGAAGACAAACAAGTAGTTTCGTCTCTCTGAAAACATTTAAGTGAACGTAATTTTTGAGCATTGACAAAAATATAAAATGCTATAATTATTTAAAATGGTTAGTTACTGCATTTCTCAAGTTTAGAGTCAATAGAGTTTTTCTAGTAGAAAAATTTAAACGACACTGAATTCTCTATTCATCGAAACTAATAACTCAAAAAGCATAGTAGACTCTAACAAACTCTAGTTCCTAACTTTATCATGTTTTATCGTCTGCTACCTTCCGACAATCATTATTGAAGAGTACCACTACCAGCAACGGTGGCTTCATTGACAAAAAATACTCAACAATGTTACCGAGTCTTACACGAAAACATTTTCTAGCTGATCTCATTGGAAAAAAATCAACATTGTTTTTAAAATACTTAGAATTCTTACATTTTACAGAATATTTTAAAAGTTTTATCAAAATGACGAACTATCATTTAATTCAACGATTTTGCATAAAATTAGTTAGAAACAAAAAGACTTTCAAACATTGAATTGAAGCAAAAGAACCAGGTCTTAGCTCTAGATCAAACAAACGTCTGTTTTCCATTTTTATTCTTGGGTCTCTTGAGACGCTTTTAATAATACTTATGTTTCTGAAATACTAAAATTACTGTGAAAAACTTTTATATGCAATAATTAATGCATAATCAATCTGAATTTGTTTATTACACATGTACTTAAAAGTTTTAAAGATTGCACAATATGAAAAATGATTTGCTATTGACTTTATTCTAATAGAAAACAAATCGTGAAACATAAGCTCAAATCATACTACTATTCTTGGCATTATCGTAAAAAATCTCTAACATTCGCTCAATATTTCTTGCAAATCCACTTTCAATTAATAGAAATATCAGATAAGTTAGATGACTATCATTGATTGACTTTCGAATGCAGGAGTTCATTAACCTTTATGTCAGAAATACGTCTTCTACATCTTGTAATCATCCGTTTTTCTCGGCTTTCGCATATGAAATATTGCAATTATTTTTTATTAAAAGAATTGAAACAATAAAATCTGTTTTCTATTAAGTAAGTTGTAGTTTACCTATATAATTCATTCTGTGCTGTATTTTAGCAACCAACGCCAATGGGGAAAGTGTTTTTTTTTGTTCGAAAATGAGACATTTGTACAAAGGCATTTGAAATTAAATGTTAGTAGACTCAATAGTTTCAGATATATGAATCTGTTGAAATACTTCGTTGTCCTACGAATAAGTACAAACAACTATTGTCTCAAAAATAAGGGGCGAATGAAGCTCTTTCAAATAGTAAATGTAACTGCATATTCAAAAAAAATCATGTGTTTAATGAAATATCTATCGTTTTTTATGTATTATTTATTATTTTTTGGAACTTGGAGAATACGTAAGCACCATGGAAGGAAGCAAAAAGGTGTTTTGGCCCTTAGAAACGCGAAAAATTCACAAAAAAATCAGAATTTTGCATTATTTCCAGTTTTTACTACTTTTTGTTTTCATATTTTCCGCTTTTCTGACTTGAAGGCCTGGAAAGTCTGCTCTTCTGGTACGACTTGTCATTTTAATATAATCAAAATGATGGACGATACTAATTATCATAAAATTATTTCTTTTGTCAAAGGATATGACATTGATAATGGCATTATCGATAGATTCACTTCCGATCAGTTTTGTTTTCTTGCTTGGCATTCTTCACATTCACATAATTTAAAAGTTTTAGAAGAAAATTATAAATGTATAAAAATGATAATCAAAAGAATAAAAGATTAAATCACCTCGTTTTTTTTCATCTTTCTTATAATTCAAAACAGTTGCAAGTGTACATGAAGATATCGGTAACATTTCGATAAATATCATCGTTGACGATAACTATCAATGTGGATCCAACATATACGACATCAGACAAGAAAAACACAAATCACGTTAGCGTACATATATGTACAACGAAGTAAATGAGTCTTGGATTTCTTTATTGGATATTAAAAAGGAACAGTTAGTTTTTGTAAATGATGATCGTTTTTTCTAATGTACATAACCATTATAACTTATCTTGACCTGATGCAATTAATTTTAGTAAAGACAAAGAGAAAACACACGTAAATCAACGTGATTGAGTACAACAAAATAATAATAATAGAATATGGAATATATATGTACTGAACAAACTATTATTAATAGTTATTTTTTTGCTCGATGCTCAAACCTTCTATTAATCATGGATAAGATTACTAACTTTGATCAAGTTTTAAACATCAACGCTCATGAAACATCATCATTAACAATGTGTTCCTATAATTTCTTTTGGCGAATAAAGTGGAAATGATAATCAATAATTTCATTTGAATTAAGTAAAAAATTCTTCAAACTTATTGCAAAAGATTAAGAAGTCAGTCAAAATGAAATAACGTCTAATATCTAAATAATAAAAAAACAATGAATAAATCAAGCTTAAAATTTCTAAATACATCCCAAATGTTATTAATGCGGTGCGAAGCACAGCATTTATGTAGTCCGTCGTGAGTTTTTTCCTTTTACTTTCTCGAATACGCATGACAAGTCGTCATTTTGTCTCGCAATTCAGAGATGAGCACAGAACAGGACAAAAATCAAAATTTTATCCTGTCCTGTTTTTGTCCTGCTAATTTTTCTGTACTGAAGGGCGTCAGGACAAGACGTCACGATTTCTGCCGTTTTTCTGCCAATTAAATCCGTTTTCACAGGTTGTAAAATGCCAAAAGTGAGAGTTTTACTTTTACTTTCATTGTACAAACCAAATATTACCAATTAATATTCTCTAACTAATCAAACTCGATAAGCATCAAATTACACAAGATTTTATAGCTGATATATCAATGGACACTAACATAGACGAGTGCTGGGAAGTTTACGACCCTGATGGCCATTGCTTTTGTTGTTACCTTATGTGAACTACTAATTGTATAAGAGTTTCTAACATTGTATGAAGTTATACAGATAATAAACTAAATATGGTTACTATCTGCAAAGCCGACACTGGAATTCCGCATTTTTTTCTAAACTGATCTAATAAAATGTCTCCAGTTTATGATTATACCGTAACGACGTCCAGTCAAAGGATAGAGACAAGAGGTTTAATATATACGAGATATTTTTTCTTCCTTTCTTACTATGCAAAGCTTCTGCTTAGAGAACAGATCGAAATGCAACATCCTAAAATACATATACACATTGTTTCCATGTTTCATGGATACTTCACTTTATTTTTCAATTTCTTATTCGAATCGGTTATCATTTTTGTATTTTTCATTTAAGATATAAACTCATACGATTCAGAATACCACAGTATCCTGTGAAAAACACGAAGCGCATCAACCAAGTTGATAAGTACCAGAATGAATGTGCAACAAAAACTCATTCAAAATTTTAAATCTTTACCCAAGTTTGAACCAATGACACTAAGCAAAATCTTCTACGTCAATCAAAAAACAAAACGTAATACAATGACAAAGTTAAGTAAACTTGCAACAGAGACAAATCGATTTGTTATGGAAACGAAATATGGTCATAAGGACAGATATCCAGCGTTAATTCAAATTTTATTTGCATACAAGTTTAAACTCGTTGTTATTTTAGTGAATACTAAACATTTACCATGGAGAGACTTGTACTTACATGCACAGATAGAATCTTTGTTTTCCATTATCCCTATCACCATCTAATGAAATTCAATCGTGGAACGACATTAAAATGGATCTTAAACTGTTTTTCGAGTATGCTCTATTTAGATGTCATCGAATTGGAAGAATTTATGTAGTTAGTATTCAACAAAAATTTGGACAATAGGTACAGAAAAAATTTGCCCATATTGGACTAAATAATGTTGAATTAGGCTATTGGACTTTACAAATGGCAATTGGTTTTACATTTCAATAATATCTGGATACAACCCTTTCAAACAGTCGTGATTGGGACATAGGACTTTATTTACAGTTTGAACCGGATTATGTGAAAGAATTGATTTACAGGGATACTTTTATCTGTGATTGACAAGTAGGACATCAATATCAATTGATTCATTGTAAATATGCTCTTCACGAAATGTATGGCGATCAATAAAATAGCTGTTCTTTTTCTAAACGAATCGACATTAAAGCACGCTGAAAATTATTTGAAAAAAAGTATAATGATTTTCTAGTAAATATCAACATTTATTGCTTTGACTATAATGTATTGTAAATTTACTCTTTCTTCTCTTGTTTATTTTGTTGAGATTCTTTGAAAATATTCGGTTTTCATTCAATCCGTGCATCATCTGACATAATAAAATTAACCAAAAAACCTTTACAAAACGTTTTCAATGTTCTTGCTGAGTTTTATATGCGTGTTTCTTTTCACTTAAATAGAATAAAATAATTGATGTTACTTGTATTTTACATCTATAATAAAATTAATAAAATCCACAGCGTTTTCATGCTACACTAATTCGAAATAATTTGCAAGTGCACAGTGTGCTTCCATGAGCTGTATATTCTACACATGCTATACTGAAGCACTGTATTGACTATATTCATGCCATGGAAAGAAGAGGCTGAGTATTTCAGTCACGAAAAGTATGACAAGAAATATATTATTATGAAACTATCGTGTATAATGACTTTGATTTATTCAGAAACAAAAATGTCACCCGTATATTTTATCAGATCGTTTATGGAGTACTGTTTTTCTAAGTGTGCATTAATAAATGCTTAGCAGCTCATAATAATAAAAGAACGTTTTCTTGTTTGAACGGTAATCATATCGTTCGTCGACAACTTTTGGTCGAAAGACATTTCGCCGACAGACATTTCGTGGACATGCAAAGGTGAAGAAATGCCAATGTTAAGAATCGCTAGCCTATTTTTTTTAATTAACTAAGCAAATACAACAGAAAACGATAAGGATGTGGGTGTAGGTACAGATGTGGTAGCAGATGCAAGTGTGAGTATGGATATAGGCGTAGGTGTGGACATAAGTGCAAGATAGGTTACGAGAGTCCAAAAAAAGTTCTAAACTGATGATCTGTTATGGAGAACGAGCTGCTCTAAACTGTTGTAACTGCTCAGCTCGGACCATGAGCTGTTCAGAGGAAATTCAGTAGCGGAATATAAGTGTTCGGAGCTCTCTGTTGTTCTCTCTTGGGACCGAAATGTTAGCAGCTCACCCAACTATGTTAGAAGAATTAACTAGGATAATAAAGGGCCACGTATCATGCTAGAGGCCTTTCTCCAGACGCTATCGATGATCTAGGGTGAAAGAGATCATATGGAACGTTCTAAGCATTATCTGCGATGTTAACAGTGTCGGCTGGATTGATAGCAGCATACCAACGGATCCTATATCATTAAAGTGGATGTCCATTTTATCCTATCTGATCCAATAGGATCGCAGGCGATCCTCAGCATCCCAGGTAATAGTTTTATCGCTCCAGGTGGTTCTCTAGAAGTCATAGATGATGCTTTGAGAATTCCAGGTTATACTTTTCGCATCACAGATGGTGCTGCTAGCACTTTGGTGTCAAGAAGAAACAACAAAGGTCTCATGATATTCAAATTCCATTATCGAATTTTCTGCGAACTGCTCGTGATGCCAGCAGAGTTGTTAGAAAAATTCAGTTCAGTTCTTACGAACTGTTCGAGCAGTACTTCTTATGTGAGCTGATCTCCGCGAACAGTGCATTAGCTTATTTGAATCGAGTTCATGAGCTGGAACTATCGTAGATATATTGCAGTAGAAACCGGATGTGCGCAGACGGGTACAAATATACAGATGTAGATCCCAGTGAAACTGTAAATGTGGTTATGATTTTGGTGATGAACCATTCTTTGGCAGTCGCGCGCACATAAATTCATGCGAGGAAAAATTTTGGTTTTTTTAGGTAAGGTACAGTCGTTTTCGAAGTTCTTAAATTGTAAGAATAAAGTATTTCGTAAGGGAGAAAAAAAAATGCATTATCGATCAAAAGAGTTGTCGACGAAACATGTTGACAAAAAACCTTTTGACAAAAAGGCGCCGACAAAGTAGTTGTCGACGAAATGACTGTCGACAAAGTGTGCTGTTGACGAATGATATACAATTCGTTTGGACGACAAGAAGAAGACCCTCTATGCAAAGAGTTACCTGAGATGTTATCGTTCCACAATAATTTCATATTTGGTTCACTTGTAAGGATAAAATCTAATTCAACGGATATTCTTATTTGTAGCATTCAATCTGAATATTTCAAAACGACAGAGTTTACTTCTCATGAACCTTTGGATTATTAAAAGAACCAAACTAAATATTAAAATCACTGTCGAACTAAGCAATATATTACTTATGAAACTGTCAATGAGATTTTTAGTAGTTCAAGCTAAATAAAAAGTCATCCAACAATCCACACTCAGCCATACACAATAGCTAATACGTTCAATAAGTTTGACTGCTAAGTTCTGTAACTATCAATATACCTCGTTATTTATCACTGCACAGAGACATGGAAAATAGCATTGCTGAATTCTTACTCCAAAACTCGTATGATTGTTTATTATTTATCAAACATGGTCACTCATTTCAGTAGAGGGCTAGCGACGCTTAAGTCGTGCTACTTGTAGGTACTATATCTAGGGATGCAATGGTGACGATTAATTGTTCACCGTTCTACCGTAGTTATCGGAAAGCGGTAAAACGATCAAACTGTGAAGCGGTCTCCGACTGGACCGATCAAGCGCTAAAAATATCCACGGTCGGACTTGGTATGGGTGTGGATCTCTTATTTATCCACACCTATAACCGCACTCACACCCACATCCACACCCACCCTAAGAGGATTCGTGCCGTTGCTGCTCGGTATAAGAGTTACGAACAGAACAAACAGTGTGGTAGATGGCGCCACCTTCTTTGTCTTAGTTTTTTCCTTTTTTTTATCTTAACTAATATAAACGTTTTTTTCAGTTGAACATTTGATTGCCAGCTTATCTTATTTATAACTGTTCACCCTAAAATTCTCAGGAGGATCCGACTGGGTTCGAGAGATACAAAATTTGTGGTCTCTTTTCTTGGATAATCGCTTTTATTTGTTTCATTCACGAACACTTGGAAGATTTCTTCGGTCTCTCCCTTGATTTCATTGAAAAGAAAAAAAATAGAATGAAAAAATATTTACACTGGTTTTATTAAACAAATAAATGAAAAAGTCTACAAGAAAAACAATTGATTATTTAATGAATGCTTGAAGAAAGGCACTTATCAAAGTCTACTGATAATGATATTTTGGGGAAAAAACGACCGAAAGAAAGCTCCTACATCTAAGTAAATAATTCAAAAAACTGAATTTGATATAACAAAACAGTTATATTCTGTGGAGCGTAAAGAAAAACATTTTCTGTTTTCTTTGAAAATGTGTAGTATGTTATGTGGTTATAACAGAACAATGAACAGAAGAACCCTTTCCTATCATTTAAACGCAAAGTCAGATTGACCTGGGAATTTTAGGGTGAACAGTCATACATAAGGTAAGCTGGCAATCAAATGTTCAACTGAAAAAAAGTTTATATTAGTTAAGATACAAAAAAGAAAAAAACTAAGACAAAGAAGGTGGTGCCATCTACTATGCTACGTGTTCTGCTCGTAACTCTGATACCGAGCAGCAATGGCACGAATCATCTTAGATAATTTATATGCATGATCAACCATAGCTAACAATAAGATATGAGCTCGAATGGTGCAAATCACTTGGGAATGTTTCCTCGTCAGTAAAATTACAGATACGGATACCCTTACAAGTATTTGTCCAGTTAGCGTACTTTTATGGGTACTTCATGCAGTACCTACATCAGTATAATTACTGAGAACTTTCGAGATGCCCATTTTGAGTACCTTGTTAAGGCTTTGTCTGTACAGGGGTACCCTGAACTCAGTACTTCCTCTAGGGTGACGTCAATTTACACAGTGGGGTCGAAACTTTTGAAACACCCTTTATTTAATATTTTTAATGAAAAAAATCGAATATGTCGTCGAATCCATTTCGTATTTTTTTATTTTGAAGAAACTACAAAAACGAATATTGTTTTATTATTGGTATTGACATATTTCGATAATTGATTTCTAAAACCAAGTAATCATAGCATCAGCTTGAACTTCATTGACTTTGGGTGGATGTTCTCGAAATTTTTTAATAGTAATATACCATATTTGAACCAAATGACATGACATCAATACAATTAATGCCAAAACGATGACCCATGCCTAAGACAAAAAAAGCACAAAGGATGTCGAATCCTTGAAGTTAAGAAGATTCTCACTCTCCACGATTCAGGTACATCTGTTGTTAAGTGAGTGAGTCCATATTGCATGCAAGTGATCGCTCCTGCTGCTGTCCACATAACACCAATCAATCGACCAATATATGCAGATGGAAAACTAAAACAAAGCATAGAGAGAGAAATATTTGTTTTTTGGATTCAATAGTGTTGTGAACTATATTATACATATTTTTAGCTGCATCTTTCTGTCGAACATAGTCACAACTATTCTTTTATGACTTACAAAGTAGTAATGACTGCTTGTGAACCGGCTACAATTGCTGAGCGTGCAATATAGTTAAAAATTAATGCAGGAATAATAAAAGCACTATTGACGAACATACAAATGATGCAGAATATTATATTTAAAAACCATGAACATGTTTGAGCAATCGAGGCATTCAAGATTTTTTGTTTTGAACCTAAGTATGGAATTTGATGATATGTATTTATGGCATTTCAAGCTTTCACACGTACTTCGACTTGCCCGAAATGAAAGAAGAAAACCAACAATCGGACAAAGAGCAATATGAGATAATGATGCCATATTGAATGCAAATGTATACTTATCACCTACAATCAATTGATTTAATTAAAGTCATACTTTAGAATGGTGTCTGAGCTTTTGTTTTCAAAAGAGCATTGCCTATCAAATGCGTAATTGTGATTAAAATTTCGATGAATCAAGAAAAAAGAAGAATTTTTATCTCTCGTTTCTGCTTCGCAAATCAAAGAATACAAAAAAGAATAGGGGTGCCGAGATACTTTTTTTAAAAAGAGTGTATATTTTATGGTGTTTTTCTTCGTTTTGCTTGATTTTTAACTTTTGAACAAAATTTTATGTCAATACAATTCTAGCCAGCAAAACTTAGGCTTCAATTTAATATAAATACCATGCAAAATCGAACAATAGGTGTCTAGATTAATGGATATCTAAAATTATGCATTGGAAATTGCTTAATGAGATGAAGATTGTTCGTTATCCCATCTAGTACTTCATTGAAAAATAGATAATTATTACAAAGTTTTTAAACACATGAATCCTTTTGACTTTAATTACTTCGAGTCAATTTATGTCAAGTGAATTGTTTTTAGCGAGTTCAATCTTGACTAGTTTTCAACAGCAAATGATTAAGAAGTAAAATAACTATTAGAAAAATATATTTACTTATTGTTTTATCATTATGATTGATATAATAAACCCATGGATACCAAGTGACTGATAAAAGAATATTTGGCATTAATAAAAAGCTTAAGTAAAGAACCACCAAAATATATAAAGGATTTGTTAAATGTTCCCAAAGTCCAATACGTCGATAAATTTTTTCATACCATTTTGTTTTAATCTGCACTTCTAGTATATATAAAAAATTAATAATGAAATGTAGAAGTTAAATTTGTCCATATTTTATTCTATTTACCATCTACTGGTGTCGTTTTAGTTTGTTCTAATTTTGTATCGAATGTATATCCAAGATTTAATATTGGAAATTTCCAATCGAGAAAAAGAAACGATGAGAAAAACATCAGTGCTCCAAATGACATCCATATATAAGATAATTGAGATAATGATGATTTATTATTATGAATTAAAATCTGAAAAAAATTTACCATCTTGAAGTTAAACTGTGGTGAAAGAGTTACTTGAAAAACAGAATACCAAATTGATGCTGACAAAGTTGAACCAACCAGTAACGTTATTAGAAATGCTCGTACCGTTGAAAAATAATTAGCTGCTGTATAGCTCGTTATCTGTACGATTTTACCAGATAGTGCTGTGAATGACGTGTGAACAAACAACAATGAGTCTCGATTTGAAACAATCAAATATAAATAAAATCAGTAAGACAATTCTTTTTGTTTTAAAGAATACTTATCAGATTTAACAAGAGCCAATGCTAGCCATCCCACAACATGAAATATTCTTAAAAAAAAGACAACTATTTAAAATTTGTACGTAGCCGAAAAATACATTTACATTCCGATTAATTTTGTAAAACGAGCACCGTATATATCAATTAATATACCAACAAACACTGCTGGTAAATTAAAAAAAATTATACCTAAAGTCAATGCATTCTGGAAAAAAGCATCATCAAAATGAAGAGAACGTTGAGTATTTCTGGAAGATTTACTTGGTATTGTTGTGTTTGTTGACTACAACCTTGTTCTGTTGAATTAGTTGTATTCAATAATTGACAATAACTGCTATAGACTCCATATTTGGGTAATACTTTGAAAAGCGCTGGAAATCCAAAAATATTCCCAGTGGTTAGATTCACTTCAATTACAAGCCAGATAACACCTATCCATTTTCGCCATTGATTTATAGTGGTTCTATTAATGCTTAAGTTCATCTATTAATAGAATACATTGAACTTAACATATAGATGAGCAAAATATTAAATACGAGAGCATACATTCAGTGAAAAATAATGAAAGTGAAGCATTATAGTGACTAAGCCTGACAATACATGTATGTCCAATGCGGACAAATACGCGACAATTCCATTCATATGAGCTAGAGTCGGTGATGAATTCTTTTTATAAGAACGTTTATGTAACTTTTCAAGGACTATCTGGGAGTGCTACTTATAACTCATCTAGACCTATCTTGGGGCGCATCCGTATAATTTTTTTGGGGCAACTTAAAAGTCATTCCACGATATAGGATCACTAAATTCACCATAGAATAAAAGCCCCGTCATATGGTTATAACTTTTCAAACATATCAGAGGTCCATTCTGTCCAAAATGGATACAAAATACACAATTTTTAAAAAGTTGGATAAATTACCTCGCTGCTTCTCAACGTTTAATTGTAACTCAGTTTATGTGCTTAGCTTTCCTTGCGTTGCATGTTTTCTTAACAGACAAATAAACGTTTTCTCAACTGATGAAAAACGTGGACACATATGCATATATCAAACATAGTTGTCTAAGAGCTGTTGGATGGAAATTCGCATGCAATAATACCGATCTGTTAGATTTTTCTTTCTTGTCGGATTATGTACAACTGAAAAATGAGATTTCTCAACAAGCTGAAGTAAGACCGGTATTAATTACACGAGAGTATAAGCTTTGAACTATCCATCGCTAAAAAAATGTTTAGGTCAAAAAATTAGACGCAATCGTATAGAAAATTGTGTCTAAGAAGTCTTACATCAAAGCGTACTATAGCAGAAGTATATCAATATTAAAGACTGAAAACGAATCGAATCCTAACTTATTTTCGAAAATTTAGTCGACTGCAGTCAAACCTGAAATTTAAAAGTTTAATATTAGCATACAAATGTGTTAATCAGTATGAACTGATAACAATATCAACGCTAACGTGATACCTCTGATTATTCGAGAATCAAGTTTTGACCTATCGTCTACTTTTGATTAAGTGGAATTAGTGCTACAGGAATTGAACCGAAATTGAACTGATTTTCAATGACAGACTGAACAGAACTCATTTGGATACATTAGAGCTGGACAGTAAAAGACTTCTGAATGGCTGAACTTTCGGAAGAGTTGACCGATTAGAGAGTGTTGTAGAGTATATCATGCTTACAATCTCCTAAAGCTGGCTGTCTCCAACCAGTTCTAGTTCTCCGCTTCGGAAACTTGATTCAACAAGAAACAGAGAGCTACTACTCAGACTGGCCGGAATGTGGACCCAGAACAATGCCACCGAGCGAGAGCTTTATAAGGAAAACATCTGATTAACCCTTTAAGTACCATGACTCTGTCAGTGATAGAAATTTCTATAAGTTGTCACATTTAAGACACGCGTAGTTAGAGTCCGTCCGGGTTCGAGTCTAAAAGTTTTACTTTGACTGGGTTCAGGTCTGAAGGAAACTTTGTTGCATATAATATGTTTTGAATCTTTTTAAAGTTGCTCGTTTTATAAAAAAAAAAAGAAATCAAATTTATTTAGAAAATAGATAAAAAACAAGAAAACTCTTTTTGACTACACTATCTAAACCACTTTATCATTATGTTAGGATCCAAAAAATTGAAGCGGTCGAGTCCGAGTTCAAAAACTCTTGGACCTGAAGGGATCTACCCCTATTACACTACTAATATTTTCATCAAAAGTTCCAAAAAAATCTTTAAAATCATTTTCGATCCATATCCACACTTTCCCACAGGAATCTCCATGTGAGGTACGGGTGTGAATCAAAATTTGATACGAAAGCTGTCTTCAAATAAACCTTCGGGATATCACTAGAAGTCATTACTAATTTCATTCCAACACGAAAATGATGTGAATAGCAAAATGAGATTATTTGACATTCTTCTTTTTAGAGTAGAGGTAGTGTTTTAAATATCCACCAGGCTTGCTGTATAAATTATCTCAATAAGGTCAATAATTCTTGCACCGGTGTATGCACCGAAGTCTCTTCTATGTCGTAGCGAAAACTGCATTTCGATATCCTTTCGCATTCCTGAGTCATTTAAAATTTATGAAATTTGAAAAAGTGGAGCTTATAGGCCCTGCTGGTACTTAAAGGGTCAACTGGAACTCCTGCAGGAAAAGTCTGATTAGTCAAGATCTAAGTAGTAAAATCCCGTCAATGGTTGAGTTGCCAGCATTAAAAAACACCTTATATTAAATAGCTGCTCTAAATTCTCAAATATATGTGTACATGTGACCTTACACGTGCAAGAAAACATACACATAAGCACACAAACTCCTTTTATTTCATACGAACCTTCTTTCAGTCGAGAAAGTATTTAGTAGAAGTATTTATTTACATTATCTAAATGAAAAAAAAATTGAATCTCGTTATACTACTAATGAAACAATCAGATCATTTGGTTGAATTGAAGCAGAGATATCTCAATTCTTTTATCTTCATATTATTTATGGCTCACCTGCGTATTGCTTATTTCATAGTTTATATATGCAACGCATCTCATCTCACTCAGTAGTGTAGAGAGAAAGAGCGAGTTTCAAACGCTATTGTTTGCATATTGCCTATGTATTCATGCTTCGTTGATTTTTCTTTTACTTATATCTTTATTATTCATTCATATATTGTGAGAACGCCATACAATATAAGATATGTGATCCTTCTTAACTATCATACTGAGCATTATGGCGCAGTATCTCAAATAAGAGTATAAAAACATGAATGGTAATATTACAAAATATTCTAGCATTCAACAACATTAGTTCGATGTCTGTAGGACGTCAGAGAAAGCAAAAAACAAAGGAAACTCAATTTTTATTGTTTGTTCTAAGTTAAATTATTTAGAGAAAAAAAGAAGTCATATTAGTTGATACTTCTCATCCTCAAAAGCAAACTTGTTCCAGTATAAAAATCATTACATTACATCTGATGATTATTCACACACAGTAAGTAAGTAATTCATCTCGATTTCATTTTTACTATTGGTTTGTATATTTTAGAATCGAACCAAGTCTCAGTAAAAATTCATCATTGCCCTTCTACGATATTACTACGAGCATGTTTCTTTCCAGCAACATATATGAGTGATTTCTAATCTTCCGATAGTGTTTATGATGAAAATAGCAAAGAAACAACTGAATCAATGCTATGAAAAAACCTGTTGTCTTATTATTGCTAAAAATATAAAGGAACAGCTATTTTTCTTATTGTTCTAATTCGCAGATTTTAGAAGTGCAGAAACTTGGTTGTCCAGAAATCTTCCAAATAAGAGTGGTCAAATAAATGTAGAAAATCCATACTAAGTACTAACTAAATGTACACAAAATATTAAGTTGATAGTTGCAACAATGAAAAGAATTGCCGCTGATCCTATTGTTTTACCGCCGTGGGTTCCCTCAAATTTGCCGCTATCTGAATACGTTTTTCTATGTGTATTTGTTATGCCGATAGGTAAAGTACATTCTTGCACGACACTAGTTTACAAATGTCCAGTTGGCCCTTCTCAACGATGTAGTAATCGTGTTCCTTACGTCATTGCTTGCATGTTTCTTACTGTTTGTTTTATCATATCCTCTTCCCGTTCTTCTATCGGATGTTCGATATTCTTTCTATCTTTCTTGTTTCTATTTAAGCTTTTGCTGTACCAGTTGACAGAATAATGTTATCTAATACATTTTGCTTATTAATTTACGTATGTTAATGCGTTCTGAAACACTTATTATTCGATTTAATATGTAGTCTATGAAATTTCAGATTATACTCATTGTCTGAACTCTTTGATAAAGAGTACACTATTATGAATACAAATGATACTATAATTGTCGAAGCTGAACCATATCCATTCGAATTTATTCCAAAGCAATGTGCATTACTGATTATTGATATGCAGCGTGACTTTTTAGAACCTGATGGTTTCGGTGCAATGCTTAATAATGACGTGACACAACTTCGCCGAACAATTGAACCAAACCAAAAGTTACTGGAAGCTTGGCGTGCTGCTGATTTACAGATTATACATACTCGTGAAGGTCATCGTTCAGATTTGTCCGATCTTCCAATAACTAAGAAGATTCGTGGTCGAAATAAACTCTCCATTGGTGATGTTGGTCCAATGGGTCGTATTTTGGTACGAGGTGAACCTGGCCATGATATCATTCCACAACTCTATCCATTACCGGGTGAACCAATCATTGACAAGCCAGGCAAAGGTGCATTCTATGCCACAGACTTACATGCTATTCTTCAGAACCAAAATATTAAGCAATTAATTGTCACTGGTGTCACAACTGAAGTATGCGTCAGTACCACTGTACGCGAAGCCAATGATAGAGGATACAACTGTCTTGTTCTCGAAGATTGTGTCGGATCGTACTTTCCCAAGTTTCAGGAAGCTGCTCTGGATATGATCAAGGCACAAGGAGGTATTTTTGGTTGGGTATCACAATCAGACAAGGTGCTCGCCGCGCTTAAATCATATCTTCACCGCTAATAGTTCTTCATTCCAAAAAAGTGACTATTGCATAATTTAAATTGCATGCATTCGCAAAATCAGAATCTTTTAAATAAAAGCTCATACGATACAAGTTTATAATGAGTTTTTTTTTTTTGAATTCTGTAAAAGAAAAGTAGATCGCTGAAGAGCTATCAGGATTTATGCAACCTTCTAGTTCTATATTTGGACAGATATAGTACAATCTATGTGTAGAAGAACAAAGCTTTGATTTAAATAAGTACTGAAGTGTTTATGGTAATATCTAAAAACGTCGTGAAAAGAGAATTCTACACCTAAAAAAATCCGGAGGATAATCAATCTTTGCACTAAAATAAAATGTTCGATAAACTCTTGAAGGGTTTATGACAATGGGGATATGCGACACATACTTAAGGATTTATTACTTAACTTTTTCATCCAAAAGATTTATTATTCTACGCCGAATGGTAGATTGTTCTACGATTAGAGAAAAAGGATTTGTTATTCTACGTTTAATCGTTGATTATGCTACGTTTCCACCAGAAAGTTTATGAGTATTTACATAACGAAAAGTTAGTATACGATGATAGCAGGTCTTACCATAATCGTTCTTTTTAGATTCATTAAGTAAGAAGATGATATTATATATGTTTAGCCGTTTGTTGTTGTTATCTGCGATCACTTCTTTGAGAGATCGTTAACGTTTTTCTGAAATGATTTCGATTGTGACACATCGATGACCTCATATATCCAACAATTCTGCGATTAGTTAAACAAACCCGGTATACGTGAGCCACTTATGTAAAGAAAAGGATTACAGATGGATTATTATGTATCAAAATGTACACCTGAAAGAATTGCACAATATGCTTTGTTAATGGAACTAGATGATTCGAATAGTGGCCCAATAACAGAAACAAGTTTTCCTGAAACTAGCTTCGATTCAAATTTAAATATATTAATTATTACAAATGAGTGAATTCTACTTTCATTACCTGTCAATTTCACAAAATTCTCAATTTGCTTCCACATAGCTTAAACAACAATAGCAACGTCGAAGAAATACTATCATTATTGTAAAACTATCAAAATCCGACAGTATATCGTCGAAAACGATCAAAAAGACTTACAAATGTAATAAACGAGAACAAGAAATCATTTATATATGACGATGACAATAACCACGAAGATACTCAAAATGATACTACTCCATTCACTGATACGAAATCAAATTGTCGTCATCGACAAAACAAACACGAACGTTGCTGTTAGAGTATACTTCTTCAATAAACGATATTCATTACAATTTTTTTTCTCTTTATCTTTCACGTATTTTTCTTAAAAAAAGCCTCACAAAAACTGAAACCGACATAAGCTACTATTGTTTTTCTTGTCTATTTTTTCACATGAAAAACAATAAAAGCATCCATATATATGTACACTAATTCTGCAAATTAGTTTTTATAACTATCAAAGCCAACAGGCCCAATACTCACGTCATACAAATGGATCATGCACAAAACACACATTCTTTCAATCAGTCAATTTCACCATCTTACAAACAATTCCATCATACAAAAAAAATCACATCAGCTAAAAAACATTTTAACTCTTCACTTAACGCCTATCTCATTATTCACTAAATTCAATCATCAATCCACAAAACTTCAACCTTGCCATAACATCGGGACAGAACCCTTTTAACTGTTTCACTTTCATATCAACATATGCACTCAACAGAATGATACTAACAAAAATACCTAAAACACAAACCAATTCTTTATATCATCCGAAAACCGTTTCAATCGGACATCCAATAAACTCTGGCATTAAAACAATAACCTTACATCTATTCAAAAACAACATAATTACCCAGGTTAGTTTATTTTCTTTTCTTTTGTATAGGCGAGTTATCCCAATGATCATTCAACATCTTCCGATAGTTATCGATTAAAAAATAATTAGCTAGCGTCTTTTCATACTTCTTCGTTTTATGATGCTCACCTTTAGTGAGTATCTATTGTGACTAAGAGAATGAAACATTTTTATTAACTCTTTTTCGTTTTTATTCAGTTACATATTCTGATCATACCTTAGTATCTGTCGTCTGCAAAAGAATTGAATATTTTCATTTCACTCCTTCTCCTTTTTTCTCGGTTTCATTTTCTGATCTTTATTGAATGCCTGTGCTGAGAAGGAGAATTGAATATTTGCCATTCCCTCTTTTCCTTTGTTTTTCAGTTCGCTATTCGGATCATAATTGAGTATCTATTGTAAGGAAAAAAAACAGATATTTTCGTTTAAGTTTTCTTCTCTCTTCCTCAGTTATACATTCTGATCTTTATCGAATATCTTTCGAGATAAAAAGAATCAAACATTTTTCTTTAAGTCTTTTCCCTTCTTTTGAGTTAGATATTTTGATCTTCATTGAGTATTTTCCGTGAGAAAGAGAATAAAATATTTTTCTTTAAGTCTTTTTCCTTCTTCTTCAGTAACTCATTCTGCTCATAATTAAGTATCTATCGTGAGAACTAGTATTGCATATTTTCGTTTAAGTCTTATTCTCTCTTCCTTAGTTAGATATTCTGTTTTTATTGAATATCTTTCGTGAGAAAGAGAACCAAATATTTTCGTTCAGGTCTTGGGTGTGGGTGGGGTGGATGTGGCTGTGGATCTTTTCTTCACATAAAACCGACATCCACACCCACATCCTATGATTGTTTTGCCATAGAACAGTTTGTTCGTTCAACTTTTAGTTTAATGAGAAACTTTTTCTGTTATGTCATCAATTACTTCTTGTGTGTTTCGTAATATTTCATATTTCTCTCTTCATCGACTACATGTTCTTACATTTTCAAACTAAAAATAGTGCAGTAAAATAAGCTGGAGAGCAATCGACTACATGAAGGGTTAGTCATTGCCTCAAGCACTGTCATAGGTTGAAATGTAACAATGGTATATCCGCTGCAACCAATAGTCGATGACGAGCTTTTATCTCACTAATTCTTCCGCCTTTGTTTACAGAAGGATAAAGCAAAAAATGAGCACATGCTTGGAGAGTGTGGGTGTCTGTGTGGGTGTGGGTGGGTGTGGGTGTAGATTTTAGTGTGGATTGACGGAATACACAACCTACACCCACACCCATACCCCGCTTTGGTAGTTTCTGCAGTGATCAAGTTCATAACAGTTGCCTTATCTTGAATTATATTCGAATCTGGTGGTAGAATGTGAGAACGACTTCCGATGATATTTATAGGGATTATTCGATTTTGGTTCGAAATTCGTTTTTCAGATTCTCGTGTGTTTCGCACCGCATTTCGTATTCGAGTTTCGACTCGAATACCATCTAGTTTTGTGACGCGATGATCTCGAGAAGTAAAAATCCTAAAAATAGTCGTTGAAACGCGCGATTCTAATATCGAGATCGAACCGATAATATCTTTTGAATTCATCTCCAAAGCATCTTCAGATTTCACATAAATCCCTTCGAAAAATGATAAATTTATCAGAGCTTCGTGTTTTTTTATATTGAGATAATTAAAACGAAAACCAAGAGAAAAGTTAGGCGCCATTTTTTTTTGTTTATCTGTCAAACAGCTGTAATTACAGCTGATTGTAGATAATGAATCATACAGATAATTAAACGATCAATCGAAATTGTTCTGGAGAAAAGTGTTCATAGGCTTTCACAGAGTTGTGTTGGCGATGAAATTTATTTATGGTACTTTTGTAGTTTCTCATGATTTATATCAGCTGACTCGTGAAAAAGTAATTTTTCCAATTCCAATGATACAGAGAACTGTCTATGTTCGGTAGTCGGTCTACAAATTAACCAGAAATGATGATTTCTATTAAATCGACAATCGAATTTGCGTTTTCTATGAAATAGCGTTTTTTCGAAAATTCGAGAGATTCCTGCTTCGCACCGCATTACGTATTCGAGTCAAAACTCGAATGCCATCGAGGGTGTGGGTGTGGTGGGTGTCGGTGTGGGTGTGTGGGTGTAGTGGGTGTGGGTGTCGGTGTGGGGTGTGAGTGTGGGTGTGGGTGTGTGGGTGTGGTGGGTGTGGGGTGTGGGTGTGGGTGTAGGTGTGGGTGTGGGTGTGGGTGTGGGTGTGGGTGTGGGTGTGGGTGTGGATGTGGATGTGGGTGTGGGTGTGGGTGGGTGTGGGTGGGTG